CAGAAATGAAAAGAGCTTCACCAGCCTGGCCTGTGAGCTAGGGAGATACAGCTTCCCACTGGGCAGTGGAGCCTTCCATTCAGGACAGGAAAGGGACTGCTTAGATTAATAGTTCCAGTACAGGAAGTGGGGAGGGTGGGGTGAGGAGAACAGGTTCTACTGCCAGACCTTTAAAAGGTCTTCAAGACCAGAAGCTGAGTATGGCTCTGATGTTACAATGAAGCCACCAAGCCTGCTTTCTGGCCTGGTCCCTGCTCTGCTGGAACTGCCACCTCTGAGCCGCTGCCCGCTGCTGTTGAGACTTGAGCGAACAACTCTCATTCTAACGGAGCTCTTTGCAACTTCCTTCCTTTGAAGCTCAAGGCTTATCTCTCTCCAACTTGTAACAAGCAGGTTTGAATCCAAGAGCCCAAGCCCTGGCTTTCTGTACATAACGGTAGTGATTATACTATTGAGGTCAGCCTTAATTGGCCCTCGGACTGTTAAGCTATTGATACCCATGAGGACCTCAGAGTGTCACTACCTATGCTGACACTCAACACACATTCCGTAGCAAATGCTGAATCATTCAGTGCTAAAATGTTTACTCTTTGACCCATTACTCTTTGACCCGCATTATTTCAATCTTTTTTCTTTTTTCTTTTTTTTTTTTTTAGCTGAGCCATCCTGCCACCTGTTGGCAGCTCAGCTCTGGCTGGGAATTGAACCGGCGACCCTGTTGCTCACAGCTCGCACTCTTGAGTGAGCTCTTAACCAACTGAGGCCACTCGGCCAGCCCTCAATCATTTTGAAATTGTGGCCAGCAGATTATGGTCTCCAGGACAATATGCTTTGTGTACATAATATAGTTGGAGTTTTCATTGTCTCTGAGGTTGGGGTCCCTTTTGTGGTGTCCTGTACTGAACAATGTGCCACCCTGCCAGGTACCACGTCTTGGTACCTCCATGGCACCCACGCAGGCACCATCCTTCGGGGGGTTCCAGGACAGTGGAGAATGGGCCACTTGGTCTTTTTCACAGCAAACTGTTAAACCCCTGAAGCTCTACCCACAAGAGGCTGTCCTTTAACGGGAGAGCTCAATGTATGTGCATTTGACTCTTAAAAAACGGTATTCCTTAGATGTAGGCACAGACATATAAATGCACAGAACAGTTTTGGAAGGACACACAGACACTATGAACAATTGGCTGAGAGGGGAACTGGATCAGGCGTGGGAGGGTGACTCACTTTCCAAAGGACACTCTTTAGAACTTTCTGATGTTTATACCTTGGTGCATGTATTCCTGTACCAAACATTTTTTGCTTCCTCAACTCTACACACTTTCTTTCTTGGCCCTCTCAAGGGTCCTCTTCTCCTAATGAACACATAATAACGGGAGTTACCAAATTTAGAGTCAGGACTCAACTAAGCATGCTACATGCATTACTACCTTATCAATCAATAATTCCAACCAATAAAGTTATGTGTTATTATGCCCATTTTACAACTCAAGAAACTGAGGCTTAAAGAGGTCAAATACTTTGCCCAAAGGACACATCCAGTAAGTGTAAGAACAAGTATGAGCCCAGGTATGTCTGACTTAGAAGTTCATGCTTCTAACCAGTACCCTATATTGCAGTGGTTCTTAGCTGGGGGTGATTTTGCCCCCAGATGTTTAGCAGTGTCTGGAGACATTTCTGTTTGTCACAGCTGGAGGTAGGTGGGTGCTACTGGCATCTATGGGTAGAGGCCAGGGATGCTCTTAAACATCCTAAAGTGCACAGGACCACCCCCCACAAAAAGACTTACCCAGCCCCAAATGTCAATAATGTCAAGGATGAGAAACCCGGCTCTCCCAGAAAAAGATAGAAAGACAGAGAAACTATCTTCTGACCTAAATTCTCATAGTTTAGGTCATAGTGCTCCATGTCTACCTCCCATATTACAGCCACATACCAAATAAACCACCAGGCCCTCCTCTCTTCAATCAATAGCATGCCAACCCCACATCACACTGGAGTTCTCTCCAGCCCCAATTGCCAGGTCCTTTTCAGCCAATCAAAGCTGATCATCTATCCATCCAACAGTGTTTACTGAGCACCAGCTATGTGCCAGGAAATGAGCTACACAGTAGGATGTCAGGAAAAACTAGACCGGTCCCTGCCTATATGCAAGACGCTGGCAGTCTAGCAGGGAGACAGACAAGGAAACCTATGATTATAATGTGAGGTGAGGCTACACTGAGAGAGCAATGCATGATACTAAGATATCACGGAGCAGGGGCCCCAAACTCGACTGGGGTCTGGGGCTGGGTAGGGCTCAGAGAAGGCTTCTCCAAAGAACTGGAGCTCGAAAGAATTAAACAAGCAGAGGGAACCCTTCCCTTCCCAAAGGACCCCTCACCAGACCTGTCAGAGTGTGGTCTCTGAGAATCCACAGATTGGCAACTTTAATTAGAACACTTGGTGGAACTCCTCGGGAAAACAGGCAGGACACAGAGCAGTCCTCGATCCTCTGTGTACAACTTGGATAATACCTGCTTCAAGGAAGAATGGCAACCTGGCTTCCCCATAGGTTTAGGCCTTCCTTGATTGCAATCCTAACTGGGCTGTCTCGCTTCCAACCATTCTGCACCTTGCAGCAGGAGGTAACTAACATTTACAAAGCAGACCTTGTAAATCACATGCTTTATCTCACGTAACTCTCAAAACAATCCTATGAGGTAGATATTGTTATCCCTGTTTTACAGATGAGGAAGCTCAGGCACAGCAATGAAGGAACTCGACCTCAGAACAGAACACCACTCAATAGGAAAGCAGGGATTCACACCCAACACCAGAGTCCTCATGGCCTCTGTCTGAGGGGACTTTTACATTTATCAGTCCAAAGTATGTTCACACTAAAATCTTCACCACCTCAGTAGAGAGTTCCAACGTCAGTCATCCTTCTGTGCACCATACACTTTTGAACCGATCTCTATGGTGTTTCTTGCATTGTACTGTGATTATCCATATCTACATCCCTAGCACCTAGCACAGTATCTGACACGTTGGGCACAGAAACAAGCCTGGATTCCCTGGGCCCAGGTAACATCAAGCCAGATCAGCCTGCTTGGGGAGATGGAGGCCTGGGAACCATTCCCAGCCCTCTTTCACCAATGCAGTGGACTTCCGCTCTGGCGGGGCGTGAGCCCCAAAGTCAGCAATCCAGTCACACAGGGACGGAACAGGTTCTCTCAGCCAGCTTTCCTTCCAGCATTGGAACAGTCAGGATTCCATCTTTGGCTGTACACCAGATGCTTATGATTGGGGACATGCTGTGCAATGGTATATATTATCTTTAAACATTAGAACCTTAAAAGGAATGAGCGTGTGCTCCCCACGGTCTTTCCCTTTATGCCACATGGAATGCATACATGATGGCAGGAGCTGGAGCAGCCAGCTTAGACCATGAGATGGAAGCTTGGGTTTGAGCAAGGAGAACCACATGATCAGTGGAACCCCGTTCCTGGATAACTTCACGAAACAGAGTGAGCTGCTCTACCAGCCCTGGGCTATCTACTTCCAGACTGTTATGGTGCAAGGAATAAACTTCTGTTTTGTTTCAGCCACTGTATTTTGGGATTGCTTTGTTGGAGCATTTTAAGATTGTACTTAATTAAAACAAGATGCGAGCATTGCCCCGTGATTAACTTAGACTGGTCTTTGTTGGTACAACAACAATAATATCAATAATTTCCCCGAAACTAGGATTTTGCCATTTGTATAATTTTAAAGTTGTCTTGAAAGGGTGATTTGAATCATGTTGAGCCTTGAGAAGGACAAACAAACTGACCTCCTGGTTTGGGTCATCCTTGAGTATTACAGACATACCTCAGATTTCCAAACAGCCCACGCTACTCTTTTCTGACAGTTTGTCTGCATAAACTCCAGCTTGGCTCTCCTCCTCCCACTTATTACCTGAAGCGAAGACACCCAAGTGGAAAATCTGATGAGAACCCAAAGGGGAACCTGCTTCCCTAAAAGGTGCCCTTTCATTCATAAATCAAACACAGGCAAACGCAGAAAACTGAGCACAGAGCCTGGTACAAAGCAAGTGCCCAATAGATGTTAAATGGGGTCATTATTGGCTGGCTACGGCCACCCTCATTTCTCACCTGAAATATTCCAGCAGCCTCTTAATTGGCCTGCAGGCCCACTCCCTTTAATACATTCTTCACACAGCCAGAGTGATCTTTCTAATCCACAAATCTGATTCTTCAACGGCCATTAACCTAAAATTGAAACTTCATGACTAGGTTTAAAGGCCCCCGAGGACAAGACCACAACAGCCTGCTTTAGTCTTTAACTCTCATCTCTGAAAGCGAGACTCCAACGTGCTTAAGGGCACCGTCGGTAAGCACGGAGCCGGAAGCCCGGCGACCTGGCTCCCCAGTTCACACTTCCAACCACTCCGCTAGTCTAGATCATTTGCTCTATCCTCAGAACCTATCAGGTGCTGAACTACACCGTCTACGGAACGAAAGAATGAATGAATGAACGAATAACCGTATACAGGGGCAGCGTCTGCCTCCTACTGTCTGCCAGCACCCCCTAGGCCCTGGCAGGCCTGTGCCCTCTGCCCCGGCCTGCGAACGTAAGCTGCCCCCGGCACCCCGCCACCTCCCGGCCACAGAACGCCCACCCGCTGCGGCGCGCCGGGGTCAAGGGGCGGTGACAGCCGAGGGCGGGGGCGGAGATGCTACCAGCTGGGGTGTCACCCAGCCCGGGAGGTGACTCGCGCTCTCTTGCCGGGACATCCGGTCCGCCCGCCTACTCCCCGCCCGATCCCCCGGCGGTGTCCTCCGCTCAGGGGCACTGCCCTCCAACCTCGCGGGGTCCCCCAGTCCGGATTCCCTTCCCATTGCATCTCCCTCCCCTCCCCCACACAACCGTCCCAAGCGTCCCGCCGCGCCCGATCCTCCGCCGCCTCTGCCCGGCTCCCGGGACTCCCCTGGCCCCGGGCGCTTGCTGACCCTCACCTGCCATGTCCCGGACCCCACCGCCGAGGGAGGTGCATCACGGCCGCGAGAAGGCCGGGGACGGCACTTCAGAGCAGACAAAGGGCGCCGCCATGATAGAGTCGGGCGGAACCGACCTCGCTGGCTTCCCGGCTGCAACTTCCGCCGTGTGCGCTGCGACCGCGCTAGATGTGGCCCGCGGACAGGCGCATGCGCCTAGCTAGCCAGAAGGAATACCGTAACTTCTACGCTTAGAATTGCTCTCATTGTAACCTTCTCTAGGTTTTCTATTCCAAATGTAACAGTAACAGCTTCTACCTATTCGGCGCTTACTGTGTGTCAGACACTGCGTTAAACACTTCACGTGCATTATCTCATTAAATCTTCTCACCCACCTTAAAACAGTGTTATTATTCTCCACACTTTTGGAGAAGGAAAAACGGAGGTTCATCAAGGGTAAATGAATTGCCCACTGTCAATCATCTTACAAGCGGCGGAGCAAAAAAAGTAAACGTACTGGTAGTTCCAAAGCTGCAGATGCCGGATTATGTTTCCACCTTTTCAGCCAACCATTCCCCACTTCCCTATTTAGAAGAGATCCAGGATTAACCTGGGTGTGAATGACGACGAAGCTTGAAAACAAGTGTCAGCCGACTTGAAGTCGTTCTGTGAGCTCTTTCCAATTTTCAACACCTCTAGGCCATTGATTTCTCTACTTTCTCACAGTTCATGGGCTTCCCCCTCTCTTCACTTCTGATCTTGTTTACTTTCCATGATTCTTAGTTTTAACAACACTCTTGCCACTAGCCTAAACTCCTTTGCTCCGTTGTCTTTTTGTCACATGGATTGGGTAAGAGTTCCAACCTTGGGTGAATCTAACTACTCCATTTCTCTGCCTGCACCCAAACAGCCAAGCACAGTTGGAGAAAGTACCCAATGGGACAGACTGTTACCCACAGACCGCTAGCCTTCCACAAATCTGTCTGGACAACTTATTAGTCCTCTCTTCGCCATGACAAGAGAAACAAAAAAGCTCAGCAGCAATTGACTTCACCTTATCTTTCGCAGGAAATAATAGCAAATCCGATAAGGCATACAAATCTGTCTATATACAAATCTGCCTCTGTGTTCTTTTGTGTTGGATGTAGTCAAACAGGACTCAGCACCCATTCCTTCCAGAATCTAAAAAGTTAAAATTTTATTTCCCAGACTCAATTGCAGTTAGGATCCCAGTACGGATCGGCTCTGCCAGTTGGTAAGATTTGGAAAGTGGAAGTGAGGCAGTAGCCATTGGCCTGCTGATGTTAGCTGATTTCTGCTGGCAAGCAAGAGCATATGGGGGGTTGCAGCAGGGCATGGTGGCCAGTTTCCAGTTTCATGAGTGTTCAGAAGTATCTGTGAGATGGTGACAGCTAAATTCATCATTCTAGTGCCTGGGAACCAGCTTCTAGTCCCGAATCTCGATCCATGGAGCCCTGTTGTGATGTGTTCTTGAATGCAATAATCCCAGTGGTGGCCTCTTGTTGCTCCATCTTCCTGATTGTGGCAGAAGTCATAGCTCCTGATTGGTGAATTCTATGGTGTTCTGGAAGCCATTACTAGAGGCCCAGTCTAGAGACCATTCTTTCAGCCCCTCCAATAATTTTTTTTTACGCTTAGTCTAACTCCAATAATTTTATAAACACTTAATTCTCTGCATTAGATCCCTTTCTGCTTAAAATAAGCCTAGGAACAACACAAGGGATCCCTGGGATGATGGAAATGTTCTGTATCTTTTTTTATTTTTTTTTTATTTAGCTGAGCCATCCTGCTACCTGTTGGCAGCTCAGCGGCTGCTCAGCTCAGGCTGGACTCGAACCGCTGTTGCTCAGAGCTCAAACTCTTGAGCGACCTCTTAACCAACTGAGCCACTCGGCCGGCCCTTGTTCTGTATCTTTTAA